TAATGTTCTGGATTAAGTTTTTTCATATTGTTACCATATCTGCTGCCTGACAAGGGATCCAGGCTTCTGCAGGTATTGGGATATGGACCCAGAGTGATTCCAGTCCACTAGGAAATTAATGTTGATTTTAGGATGCTGAAAAAAAAAAATGTATGTCTATTAGTCAGGTCTGAATGCCCAATGCTTGTCTTAGATACTGTAGTTCTGCATTTCTGTGCATAACAGTCCACTCCTTTTTACCCTAGCTTGCTCTATCAATAGAAAACCCCTATTTCAAGCAAAATTGCCATTSCTCAATATGTATGATCAAATCTGTTTCTGTTTCATAACTATTCTAAATTTTCCTCATTCTCATCAATGGGAATGGCCTCATATATACCCAAGTTTTCAGCCCACAATAGTAGGTGGAGATAAATCCTTAAGTATGTCTATGTGAAAAAGGATATTTTGTCAATAGACAATAATAGMACAGGAGACTAGACTGATGCTGGAACCTTCTTAAAGATTCCACCGTCACTAACTTTTGTACTGAGAGCCAAATTTTTCAACRCACAAAACCCTCAAATCTGGGTGCTGATGCTGCTCATCAGCCTACTAGAGACAAGTGCAAAGCTTCAAAATCAAAGCACTTGTTTTTGGAGAATGATCCTCCCACAGCAGCAAATGCTTAGCTGTAYGTTTTAACCTATTTCTTTGTAGGCCATTTAAAATATTCAGAAAGAGTCTGTCTTATGTTTTCTGTGAATGCCAATAGCAAGGTCTTGTAGTATCTTTGCACTGTTATGTGAAAAAACTTTCATTCAGCACTTTTACTGTCACCTTTTTTGGGTGTGCTGCACTTTATATTCATGGTACAATTCCTGTAGGATACAAACCAATAGGTAAAGCATTTTTGCATCTATCTGTCTGCTATAAAAAAAGACCTGTATTTTCTCACATGTAATTTACAGCTTGTGTCTCCTGTTAAAAGAACTGTGCATGGATGTCAAATAACAAAGTATAACACTGACCAATTGAATTGATTTATTATAATCCAGTGAAATAAAAGCAGTTTGGCAAAAATAAAAGTCACTGCTGCAGTGTTTCTGTAGGGAGACAGATTCAGGTGTTACAGAAATGCAGAAAACAAAGACGTGGAAGAGATTGTGTTGACARCAAAACACGTCACTAAATAGGAGTGAGCCCCTGCTATATCTGGGTCTTGTTCCCTCAYTTATTGACTGCAATGATCAGGGCTTCATTTATAGTTAGGTAGTTGAGTGTGTGGTATAGATTCCTTCCTGTGTCTTACGGAGATTTAACGGAGGTGGTCATAAATCATGATGGATTAAGAAATTCCTATATTCTGAAATTATCCTGAAACACAACAGCTTCTGTTGCTGTACCTGAGTTTAAGCAGAGGTGAGGCATAAGCTTTGCTCTCTCTCAGTCTGCTATGGCTCAAATTAAAAGCCTCACAAAAATTAACACCATTTTTTCAAATGCTGTAGATTACTTGTTTTTATTCTAAGAAAAGGCAGAAATAATAGCATCAGAATGGATGCTGAGGTATTTTTGCAGGTAATGCTAAGGCATTGTTTTACAAAGCCTACGTGTAAAGCCTGCAGGACTTTAACTTGTAAGGAACATTGACAAGTAACTGCTTTTAAGAGACTGAACCTTTCAGATTCAGGACCCTCACCAGACAGTTGYATTGTTTCACTGTCAGACCCTGTGCCCTGCGAAAGGGTGTTCATCATYCAAGGCCTGGTCATGCACCTGACTGGAGCATTTTGCCAGTGGCATCCCCTGGCCTGTGCTCTGCCTGCATGCCTGGTATGGGACCACCCCAATGGATCATCAGAATTTGCACACAACAGGTTTTATACTATCATCTCTTCAGTTTTAAAAATACTTCTTGCCAAAATAATTTCCCTTATTTATGGCTTTTTATGGGRAAACACACCATTCCCAGGAGTGTGTAGGTCTCCCTAAGTCAAAAACAATTGCAGCTGCAGAAACTATGCAGTATTTCTTCTCTCTAGAATGAAAATTCCGCATATTTCAGCGAAGTTTAAAGTAGATGTCCTAAGGTTAATGCACAGGTCTGATACTCAGAAAATCAAGTTGCATTTCTTTGCCATTAAATCTTTTTATCTCGTTACAGTGAACAAAACCATTCTTTTCTCCAGTCTTCAGAACAAATACTTTTTTTTTAACCCTAATTGCTATTTATCTGGTTTGCAAACTTCAGTTATAAACTTTTTTGGTCTGTTAATGAGTGCCTGACTGTTTGTACAGAGCCTGAGACAGTGATCTGATTGAGACTTCAGGAAGTCACCAGAGTTCAAACTACAGCAGCAACATTCTGGCATGAGTCAACTGTTGTAAATACTCCTGTAAGGGACTGGTTAATTAAAGATCTGCCATTATTGTGACTTTGTTCCATCACAACAATTGTTTAGTGCCTGTATCTTACGTTACACATAGCACACGCTTATTAAATTAAAATGTCCTTTTGCCARACAACTACAGTTTTTGATCCATGCTTCTTCCATTTTATCTGTCCTCACTCAGAGCAGTTTCCCACTGATGTTTTTCTACTTCAAGTAATAGTGGAGTAATTTTTGAGCTAAAATGGTAGGGTTGGACAYGAGAAAAATTTAGAATTGCTCTGTCCTAAAGTTGCACATGGTTAAGACCTCTTTTCAATATAATACTCTTCTATCTTTCATGACTTTCACAGATGTTTGAGATTAAAAAAAAAAACCAAAAAACAAAATCAGCAAAGATTAGGCCAGAGATAATTTATATTTCAAAATAAAGACTCAAAATTATTATTAGCGATATACCATGAGATGTAACTAGATTMATTTGTTTTTAAATCCTTAGCCAGGATATATGAAGCTATGATGCTATGATTAAGTTCCACTGTTTTCCAAAACATRACTAAAAATGCTTAAGGAATACAACTAAATAAATAGCATTTAAATAATAACCAAATATTTTGATGTGTTACCTTGGATTTGAGAGCAGTAACTTCCTTTGCCCATATCCTGTTGTGACTACAGAAGGATGTTTTCAAAAGACAAAAAAAAGCTGACCTTTTGATGATTTTATTAACTTAGGGACCCATGACAATTAGAAATATGAGCAYAGAGGAAAAGTAATAAGTTTACCCTGTTCCCATTTATTTCATAGCTTTTTTATTTTATGTCTAAGGTGGCAGAGAATCCAACACAAGTAAACAAAGCAGAGCTCAAAATCTCTCAAGCCTCTGTTTTCTCAGAGTACTGCTTAATGCTCTCTGTTATCTGCATCTTTTTATCTTTAAGAAAGCCATTCCAGACAGGTGATCCTGCCAAAMACTAAGCTCCCAGTGTGAGGCCTGAATTTCAGACCCAGTTGAAAGTGCACTGTCTGAAAGCAACAGCCTCTTTTTCAGGTGTCATCAGATAAAGATCCAAAATTTGGTTAAAGGTATAGACACATGGTTTGTGAACTTGCAGCCATGCCTTTGAAAACAGAAGTTACTTGGAAATATGTCTATGAGAACAAAAGAAAAGATTTCATTGTTTAAAGGACAGACACTCCTGGTTCTTCCCTGAAACTACAACGTTGATTTGAATCCAAAGAAATAATTGTATTGATTTTTTCCAGTTCTGATGGYGCTTGGTATGTCCTTTGACATTCAGGAATATCTCTAAGGAGATATTTCCTTTACAACTGTCAAATCTAATCAGGCAAATCCAAGTTCACAATTAAGCAACTTCTGCTGCCAGAGAGGCCTTTGGAGTACAAAGCTACTGAGCACTAGGTTCCTGCATGCCAGTTGACTTATCTGCTTAAGAAACATGGAATTTTATGTGTGGGTTTAAAGGGATAAGATTTATCTTGTCGAGAAGATTATGTATGCACATTGCAGTGCTACTGGCTTGCTTCACATTTACCAGGAGTAGGTTTAAGATGAATCAAAATAAGTCTTTAAACTGAAGAAAATCTATTTAAGTTATCGTTAAAATTATTGCTGGAACTTWCGCATATAGACGAATAGTTTCACTAAGATAAAAGTAAGTTAAAAATGAGGATTGAAGTTTATCCACCATGATCAGACTTGCAAATTAAGGTACCAGTTTTTCCTTTATTTTAGTGGGATTTAGGAACATGATTGTGTTGAAAATTATACCACTGGACTGGTAGGGACTGAAATCTTTTGGATTTCCTATGAATTTGTGTCAATCTGACTTCTGTGAATTTCTTTGGCTTTGGAAATTGAGACTTGGCCCTTTCAGCTGTCAAATTTTACCTGTTAGCTGTAAACATCTGTAAACAGATGTAAAAAGCTGCCCTCTGTATCTTATCTGAGATAAATTCATTGTCAGCAGTGGGACATTTCTTCATAAAATAGGTGCAATTCTGTGTATTTGGAATTTGTCTTCTTGCAACCTGCCCTTAATTGAAAATGAGCATGGGATTGTTTGCTTTCTTTGCTGTGTTGGGTCTGGCTTTTCTAGGTCTGGCTTCTGCGACATCACCCTATACTATTTTGTAGGGTGTCTTTAGAAAATCTTCAGTGCTGTGCATCTTTTACCTACTTCTTCCCTTGGGCACATGCAGCACGGTAACAGACCGAGCTGCTCCTTCTTTTGCCTTGAAGATGTTTAGCAGAGATGATCTTTCAGATTGCAAAATATATGACCTTTGCACAATSCCATGACTCATTTTTGTGGCCTGTAGAAAATTGCCCTGTTAATGCTGTTGTAACAGAGAATTTTCTCTCAAAGTGTCTGGTCTAAAGGGTCCTGTTAACTGAGAGGGAATAAACCAAACAGAAGTAATCTGGCRGGGAAAGTAAACTCCAAAGTGCCAGCCTTTCCATACCTGTATCAGTTGTAATGTGGCACTCTGGCCAGGACACGATTCTTCTGTAATTCTGATAGAACCTGCCTAAATATTATCATATTTGTTGATGCCTTCATTAATGCATTACCAATACATTTTCCTTCTCTACCAAGGGTCCCAGATAGCCATGGTGCCTACACACTCTTTGATGGGACCTTTTAGAGGACACATGAGTCTCAAAAGTAGCCGTAAGTATTCACATTATTACTTGAAAAGCACCTAAGTGTTCCAGTTTTGGCATAACAGTTTGAATATTATGACACTGTTAAAAAATACATGTTTTATTATTGAAACAATCTAAAGTAGGTAAGTCCTTCTAACACCTCCTATTACAAAAATCTCACCTTCTAAATTTAGACATACAGATTTCCTGGTCAGGATCTTTGCCAAGCACCTGTAGAAGAACTGCTGGAAATCTGTTCTGCCTTAAACTTCCCTTCTCAGAAATGCTGTTCCACTGTACCTTCTCCAGGTCCATATTCTCACTTGCAGGAATTAGCAGGAGGCAATGGTACAAAATCTTTTCAGTATAGCAGTTCTGAGGTTATGTTAGTCTTTTAAAGAGTAAAGTAATTGACATTACTGAGARCAGACTTTTGCCCCAGTGAGAGGCAACAAGTAGTGGCTTTGAATCAGCAGTCTGGTGAGAAGCAAAGTCAYCTCTTGTGTTTTTCAAAAGCACATTTTGATTTTTCAGCTATGTGGAAAAGACATGTTTTATCACTGTCATTGTGTATCAGTCAAACTTTAATACTGCTACGACTGGATTTATGATATGGCATTACACCTCTAGGCATGATATATTCTCCAGACATGAYCTGCAGAAGTAATCTCTTGCAATTCAATCAGTGGAAAGTAGGTAAATTAGTTGTCATACAACAGCACATTCAGGACTATAAAAAATTGCTAGGTAAGTAATTTCAAAKTTGGAAATAAAAAAGAGTCACTGTTGAGAGAGTTGTCACCATTCTTTATTACTTTTTCTTGGGTCTTAGGGTCCTGGAGATCTTTCTTTATGTGTATAAACAAGATGTAAATGTATTGGAAGTACAGTAGTCCTCAGAGTTTGGAAAGATTTTCAAAAGCAGGCAAATTTTTGTACATAGATCTGTGCTCTTGTGTAGAAAATGCTGAACCTCCTAAAGGCTGAAAACTTAGATCAAGCAATTTGCTGAATTTTGCAGCAAATGACATCGGTATAAGGCAGCAGAAAATACAGAACTTGGATTCTGTTCAAAAATGGGCTTAAGAACATTGCCTGTCTTTACAGCACACAAAAGGGCTGTTTCAATTTGACTTGACCTGTGTTTGCACCATCAACAGAGACTCTTAGCAGGGCTACTTAAAATTCCCAGTAGATTTCTATTTCCCATTTCCCTCAATTTGAAGTTATTCAAAGGAAACATAAGAAAAAATTGTTTGAAAATGTAAACTTTCCAGTGAGCTCAAATAAGATCACCCTCTGTAATGGTGGGAAATACTTAGTTGTATACCCCCTAAGTCTCCCCATTTCATTGTTTTTCTATCCTTAAAGCCTTTTCTTTGAGAAAGGGATGTGCTTTTTCATGTCCTCTGTTCAGAGAGATTGAGACACAAAAGCACAAAATAACTTGCCAAAGTTCAACAGAAAGTCTCTGGTGAAGAAAGGAATTCGCTTTTTTTTTCCTTTCCTTACATAGGAATAACCACAGTGATGCTTATTGCACAATGTTAGCAATTTTCTGGACACAGCATAGAGTTAGATTTTATGAAAGACAAAAATTAGATTAAAAAACTAGTGCCTTAAATATCTTTAGCATTTCAATTTTCAGGCAGTTATTCATTTTGAGAAGAATGTTCTTTTTATAAATGGATTTTCCACCCCTTTTTAATCTTTGGATATTTTTTTATATTATCACTTCGTTCTTCTGCCATGCTGTCTTTTTCACTGCATATATTGAAATCAGCTTCTCACTGCCAGTCAGGGAAAGATTTGGGGCATTTACCAAAATACTGTTTTCTTTCCCGTGGTGACAAGAGCATGTAGCTGCTGTGATTTAGGGYTTTGCCATTCCTTGAGCTCGGGAGAGCCACCCCACTTTAAACCAGATGGGGACGGTGCTGGATGTTCAGCTTGTTCCACTTGCTTTTGCCAGCAGTGGTTGCAGCACAGCTGACAAAATTAATGAAAAAATATATTTTTAGAAGTTTTGGAGTGAACAAATGCTGGTCTCAAGCACATAAAAGCTTTGAAACARAACAGTCCTGATTTTAACTATTTTATTTCTTTTTGATGACATTGACAGCCGTGAGTGGTTTCCCTGCACAAAATGGGACATGTGGTAAAAGCCCATGATTGAAACGTTTGTCAGCTTTATATTTGTCTGCTTCAGGTGACACATTCCATTGTGGTACCTGTACTACTCGTGCTCAGTTTTATTGAGACAAGAGGTAAATGCAGYCTGTTCAGAATATTGCACCAAGTTCTCTACTGCTTCACAGCAAACACAGAATCATTATTTCTGCTGATGTCCCTGCACCTGCTTGTGCTCTGGTGGAAGCACTCTGGCTGTGCCTGCATGCTCCATGCACAATCACAAYGGATGGCCCTGGAGCAGAAGTAACAGTGTCTTCCTGCAGCTGCTCATCTTGGGATGTGCTGCTGCTCCTGGACCAGCTGTTGAAGTCAAATCTTTATGTCAGTGCCCTTCTGGCAGGCTTAGAGTCACTTGCAGGAGCACATCAGTGAATAACACCAGGTGAAGGAACAAATCTAGCATTGGGTGTTCTGTCCTGCTCTTTCTTGTGGTGCTTGCTCAAAAGGTGGCACCATAAATTGAGTGTAGTCGAGCTCCTTGGCAGTAAAACCTGTTTGCAGCACTGGCTCACTTGGTAGGCAAGAGATAAGAAAAAGCAATACAGCAAGGATGTAGCCAAGTGGAGATTAGAAGGGTTGATTCCCAGCCTCTCATCCTGAGGTCTCCTATTCTTTTGAAACACAATAAAAGCCATGAAACAAAGTTATTAGCTTAAATTGTACACTGGAGACATCAACAATGAAACAATCCTTTATTTTGTTGGCTCGGAAAACCAGATCTGGATAGGGTTGGATGGGCTGATTATCTCAGTATAAGGGTCATTCTGGGTCTATGGATGGAAAGCCAAAGGCACATTAGGTTTCTAATCTCCAGTATTCTGCTGATTTTTTCATATTACACGCTGGTAACTTTCCATCTACAAATCCTGTCTGTTAGGAATTGAGAGGATTTGAGAAAAAAAATAATATTTTTGTTTGGAAACAGATCGAAAGAAAATGATCTCAGCAACACTGCCAGGTTAAAATTTATGGCAAGTAAATGCTTATCTTCTCCTTAACCTTTTTTTCTGGGTTAATGAACTTAGATGGAGAGAAATTTTTCTGAATCTGAGAAGCCTGACAATTAGAGATTCGGAGGGGTGTCATGGTCAGCCTATGTTTAACACATTTCAGCTCCATGGTCTGGTTCCTCTTCTGGTCGTATTTCTGTCTTTGTCTCTATCCAGTCCCTTTACCCAGCTACAGAATGCTCGTGTTAGGTCTGGTATCACCAAGAGGTGAGATACTAATGTGCGTTTTGCAGTACTTTGTAATATTATTAATAATACTGCCAACCAATAATAATAGTATTAATGCTTTCTGTTATTATTTAATATTCCCTACTATTAAATCTTTCAGAAGGCAAATGCTTTTTATGATATCAGATACTAAACAGTGAGATCCTCGGCTGTTCTCCAGAGTTCAACAATATCAAAGGCTTATGCATTACTTATCACAAGCCGTAATTCTCAGGTATTCAGAAACATGAAAACTGGGAATAACCTACCACTTGTTCATGCTGCATTCTGTGCTATTCTTACTTTTTGAAATGAAAGAATGAATACTGACTTGATGTTATTGCAAGCAGGAGGGGATAAATATTACAGTATTTTCAGAACTATTATAACCTGAGACATTATTGGTCCCTCTGGGTAAACTCTGGGAGTTTTTTCCCTCTCTCAGCTTTTTCTCCTGGACCTTCCCACAAGCTCTCCAGCCAGTACATCATTCAAGACCACATGTCTACCCATTTCAAGAAACTGATGTCTGCCAAAGGTGTGTACAGTCTTTAATTATGAGAATATCTATGTAGGTAAAAGGTGAAATCAGAGTCAGGGGTATGTTGGTTGCCTCTATTTTTGTCAGGCTGATGAATTCCTTCCCCTTCCTTTCCTCCCTCTCCCTGTCAGTAACTCAACAGGAGTAGGAGGATATAAAAGTGAGGTATGAAATGGTGTGCCCTAAGAGATGTGTAGAACACTCAATTGGAACTGTAACCTTGTCTGGGGTGAAGCAGTCCCAACTGTTGAAAGATGTAAAGTCTGTGGAGTCAAACTGATCCACAAAATAACAAGTTGGTGTTAGGAAGAGGAATATTACCTAATTCCCTTGTGTTATTTTATTCATAGTTTCTGTTTAGGTGTATGTGGCAGTTGAGTAACAGGAAAGGAGGGAGTGAAGATCAAAAAATGAAAGGAAAGTAACAGAGATGTTTTGCAACCTTTTTGTCTATTACATTCTTGCAGCTCAGAAGAAAATACACAAAAGATGTTCTTAGCATAAAAGGAGCCAAATGCTTTGTTCCTGAGCAGGTTTCTCTTTTTTTTTTTTTTTTTTTTTTTTTCAAATGTCAATCCTGCTCCTCTGGAGCAGAATTCAGTCAATCTGGAAAGAGCTTCCCACAGTAGGTGTTAATAAAAATTTCCAGTGGATAAAATTTCTAATTCTTAGGTGTTTCACAATCTGATCKTACAGTTCTCAAAAGTCATGTTTGGAGTTTAATATAGCAGAARCCTTTAATCTTAAAACAATTACTTCTTACAGTGCTTCATCATTTACACGTTTTCCTTGGAGAGATAACTTTTGCACACATATTAAAAACTGCAATATTGCAAGGATTTCAAAGTTCTCTTCTGTACTTACCTGATGCTTTGAAATGCTGATTTGCCACATGTTCTGYACAGCTTTACAGGAGATTATAGAATTTTGTGCCTCTGAAAGACCTGGTCAGGCTTGTCTAAAGGTCCTCTCCAGCATCCTTCCAAATTATATCCAATCCTTTTGAAATATGTCTACTTTTTAAACTACAACCTGTTTGGCCTCACTCCAGACAGTGGCTAGCCCTGCATGCCCAAAACTTTAGAGCACTTGTACAAACTATAATTTGCTTTGACATTTGGCAGTAATCACAAAAGTTAAAGGTGGAAATGAAGTCAGTGTACTTCAAATGTAACTGGAATATTGAGCTTCTAGGCAATTGCTTTTTCCTCCAGTCAAAAATTGTATTTCCTCATATATCTCAGTTATATCCAGGGGTATGCAATCCAACATAGAGCTCCATTACCATCCTTAACAGCTCCTCTATGGACACAGGACATAATGAAGGCTGGGGAATGCTTGATTCCTCAGAGCTTACTTCATTTAATCTTTTGAAATTAAAACCAAATGACCAAATAACAGARAATGCAGTATGCAAAACTGTCTATGTAATTGTGTAATGAAATAGCTTGYTKTTCTAGGAAGATGATGGRAARCTGATGACCCTGAGCCTCAGGACAYRCTGAATCACACTCTTGGAGCATCAGTTGGCAGTTTCCCCTCTCTGATAGCAGCTGTACTACTCAACCATGAAACTTTCTGGGTACCAATAAAGGCCAATACAAAATTAGTAAAGCTTTACTTATATTGTAAATTAAAATGAAGGTTAATCAATATAGCTGTACTGRCTCTAATTTCTACATCTAAGTAGGTATGGCTGAAAACCACAAAAATTGGGTCCAGATTTGATACTGAACCAGGAACAGATCTGCAGAAGCGATTACTTTATGATTTTATGCAGATGGAGACAAGGAGTAAAATCCTCAAATCATGTAATTGCAATTGCACATTTAGTTGATCCAACTCAACTCATTTCACAGCATTTAAACTATGCCGGGTTTTGAGAACTGACCTAGGACAAAGATAATAGCAGTAAATGGTGTTCATCAGTTGGGAAAAGTTAGGATTTTGTGGTCAGTAGATTTTAAATATTATTAATGCTATTATTATGCAGTCTGGTATTATATTCCCATAGGGAATTCAACACCTTAGGATTATCAGTTTCATCTCTACCCATTTTGATATGATTATTTGTGACGTGATTGTTTCATTGGACTGAACCTACTTTTTGTTAATACAGCTGCTGTTGATTCATCTGCACCAAGGAGTTTGCATACCAGCATTAAATGTGAGTAGCTTTATTTTGGTTTGTTTTGAAAATAGGTCTGCCTCCATTTGTTTGACTTGGAAACACTTGCCTTCTKTTAGGAGGAAGGTGTTCTGAAAAGGCATGTATATGTGTGTTGAAAATACGCATCATCAGGGTTAAGATAATAGTATCTAGTGTCTACTCGAKTAATTTCACAGCTGTATCCAGAGCTCGGTTCGTTTGCACAGATCCAAGCTAAACTGCAGAGTGTGGGACTCACCAAGGCACCAACTGCAAACAAGGYTGTTGGAGACATACTTTTACTTTTCCAGTCTAAACTCAGACCTCTGGTTTGGAATTCCTTTGAATTCCTAGCTATTCCAGCCCGTAGTTTTCATTTCCTTAGTGGCTCCTTGTGACTGCGGACATCGGGCACACRACCGCTGACACAGGTTTTGAGGAATAGATGGGGCTTTGGTAAGAGAACATTGCACTGCACCTTAACGCCACCTCTTGGCTGAAGCCTGCAGGACCCAGTGCCTCGGCAGTGTCTCCTCTCCTTCCCTTTCTGGAAGAATGAAAGACGAAAAGGAACCCGTTTATCCCTTTCCCCGGGAAACATAGCATTCACTTTGGAATGTGTTTGGTTTCCCTCATTTACCAGGCTGTGAAGCATTTTCTTCTTATCCCTTCTTATCTCTATTCTATCTTATATCTCTCTGATGGTTACATACAAGGCAGCACACTCCCTTTCCACACAGAAACCTCCTGTTTTAAAATGAAATTTAAAAAGCTGGGAAGATGGAAGCTCCCGCTTTTCCACAGTACATGCCTGATGGGAACCGTGTATCCAAGCCCCATTGATGGCTGTTGTTCTCAGAGGGGCATAACACACTTGAAAGCAAAGATAGCTCGGAGGCAATGGTGAGATGCAGTTGTTCCAGCAAGATACACACCAGTCAAAAAGGCAAACATAACCCTTGCCCACAAAGAGTCAGAAAAATGTATCATATGAGATCCTCATTAGACAGGAGCAAGAGAACAAGTTCAAGATCATAATACATTACGATTAAAACTCCCTCAACTTTGTTTTTTAACTCATCATGCTCAACAGTGTTTTCCTTTTTTAAATTTTTTTTTCAGTGCTCTCTTTTATATAATAATTGTAAGGTTAGTGTTGTGTATTATTCACTTTAATGGTAACAGAAAAAAATACCATGGAGAGTTTTCTGAGATCATGAGTTTGACAGAACAATGATCCTGACAAAGAAGTGCATGAGGAGTGGAATTCCACCTCCTTGAGAACATCAAGACAACATAGAGTTTGTTCAGCTGGGTTTGCCACAATATTGTTATTGCCAAAATATTGCGTTCCTAGATGATGCATCAGAGGGAAACATTAACTCTTAAAATGCTTTCTCAGGAAGATACTCATCTTACAGAGCTAAGCAGAACTGGACTGTTTKGTGCAGTTTCTGCTCTTTTCGAGGTCCACACTGGGTAGGAAGCCATAACATGATACTCTCAGTCAGAGAAAGTGAGGACCCACTATAATTTTTGTCAGTATCCCCCTGGGGAAATGCAAATCACCTTTGTCATTTATCTTCACTGGAAGATACTAAATATCACCTAAGCCCTTTTTCTGACAGGTTAGCTCCAAAAATGTCTGTCTTTGCAAAAGAAATTTTATCCCTCAAAGAATAAAACTCAAAATTTAGAAGTCATCATGAAAATGTGCATCAGAACTTGTGTCTTCTGAAGCGTTAAGTAGGGCAGTAGCACAATGGAGGTACAGTTGCTGCTRTTGGGGTTGATGTGCAAATCATTTGAGCAGTACAAAATTACTTTATGCCTACAAAAATAGGCTTCTGTTTATTATTTGCATAATCAAATACCATTTGCATAAACAAAATAAATTAAGTCTGTTTTGCCAGCCTACTAGAATAATAGGAGGACAAAACTGATTTTCTGCTTAGTACAAGATTACAGCGTTTTCTTCTTTTCATGTGCAGTTTTCTACCACCACCATCTCCCACTATTRCTTTTGCTAGTTACTAAATGTGGAGTGCTTTTAAAACCTTGACATTTATTAGAACTTCGACAGATACACACTCTGAAACCATGTATTTTCTTATCTGTTCTCAACCCATACTCTCAGATAGGTATAACCTTGTTCTCCAAATGTGTGAACTGTGTTGGATTTTTCCAAATGTGTGATCTGTGTTGGATACCACAAGTTTCAGTGGTAGGCTGAAAAGAAAATTCAGGTCGCTTGGTAGTGATGGAGACATACAAAAATGTATAAAATTAAAAAGACTCAAACAGCCACAAAGATTAGTTCTGAGAAGCCAGAAGAAAATATAGAGTGCAATGTTTTGTTTCATATTAAGAATAAATGCACTGCAGATAAAACACTGTAAAGAATTTTCTAATACTCCCCATAAATAAATTGCACCATTCACAAGCTATCTGTAGTGTTGCACTGCAGATTAAGAACTGTACAAAGTGTGAGATATGCAGTGTATAGGACTTTCTCCTGAATGTGTTTGGGTATATCTTGGATTTTCAATTCTGAGCTTTTAGAAGGACACTGTTTGAAATTTGTTGATTCAATGGGCTTTCTGCTCTTTTAGATTTCATAAAGTTACTAATATTGCAGTGGGTAAGAGTTGAATTGAATTGAATTAGCTAGTTTTGTTACACATTAAGAAGTCTTCTAATGACCTTTAAATATGGTTTATAAAGAATAGCAAGTGTCAGCTTTCATAAATTGGTGTAACTGGAATAGAATAGAATAGAATAGAATAGAATAGAATAGAATAGAATAGAATAGAATAGAATAGAATAGAATAGAATAGAATAGAATAGAATAGAATANAGAATAGAATAGAATAGAATAGAATAGAATAGAATAGAATAGAATAGAATAGAATAGAATAGAATAGAATAGAATAGAATAGAATAGAATAGAATGTTCTGGAAGAGACAAAAATACTGATGGGCTTGAAGCATCAACCACCTCTCTGGGAAGCCTGTTCCAGTGTTTTACCATGCTCTTGGGAAAGAAATGTTTCTTGATGTCCAGTCTGAACCTCCTCTGGCACAGCTTTGAATCATTCCCACATATTGTATCACTGGATGCCAGGATGAAATAACAGTTGTGTCTCTTTCATGTCAAGTTAATATTCTAAATGCTCTTAAAACTGCACAAAAAGTTTATGACAAAAGTTAGCGAGAAACAGTMAAGATAAAGGTTCCTGAGCAGTCACTTCTCTCCAGCACAGAGCTGGCTTTATTGTAGCCATAAAACTGCATCTTCAAGGTTCTTATGCTGAAAATTGTGGACCATTTTTCAGCTTTCATTAAAGAATGGCAACATGTGTCTGCCCCCTGCCTTAAGAATATTAACTGGAGATGCAGCAGAGTTCAGGGATGTAAGAAATATAGTTCATCATCACAAGTGTTCTTGCAGAGATAAAATTAAGCAGAGGTGTTTTAAGAGTCATGAGAACAGCGTGATTTATGAAAGTAGTGTGAAAACAGGAATTCCTTGGCCATTCCAAGTGTCTGTGTAGGAGGATGTTTACATTTCTTACTTGAGCAGAAGGCACGCTTCCTAGAAAGAGCATCTAATGAGTATGGAAAGAGGATAAGGTGTGCTGCTGAAGGCACCAGTGACAAGGTTTCAGAAGGCATCTCAGCAATCAAAATGAAGAATTCATGTTCCAATGGAAATGTGAAAGTTCTGGGGCAAAAAAAAATATTTTATGAGGCACTGTTTCTATCTGAACAAAGATACATTATTTATTTAGACAGGACTGATCCTGAGACTTAAACTTACCTGTGACACCCAGAAGGTACTCCAAATTTTTCAGTTATTAGGATTGATCATTAACAATTACTCTTAAGCAGTTGAATTACATTTTTGGACCTCGAAAACATAAGACAACTCTAGAAGTCTCTTCTAACCATTATTTCCATGTTACGTTGATGTTCTGCCCCAGATTCACAGAGCCCAAGTTTGAGTCAGCTCTCCTGAGCCTGAGCCTGATCAGCTCAGTGAGGGGAGCAGAAACCTTGGCTGATGTACATGTGATGCTGGCCCAGATGAGCTGGAAGAAAACTAGGAAAAAACACTCATGAAAGATTAATCAAAACCAGCCCTGAACAGGAGACCAATAAAGGTAACCCACAATTCATACAGGAGAATGAGCCACCCAAATCTCAGTTAATCCTGCACTAAATCTGTTGCTAAAGCTCAGCCCTTTGACTCCAGCACAGTCCATCAATACAAGGAAGGGCAGCGGTCCAAGGTACCCTGCCCTAATTCTGTTCCTACTCTGCCATTTCAGGGATGAGAGTGTCTCCACCAAGGGCTGCTCTTGTGTATTTTTTTGTCCTRGTTTTGTAGTATCTGCTGTGCTTCCTTAGCAGAGTATTGGGTTGTCAGTCCAGCAAAACCCACACACCGGAATGGTGAAGGTGTGCTAGGAAGTGGAAAGGTCATCCTACCCAAGCTAAAGAATGTCCTGAAGGAGGACCTAAGGTAATCTGCCTCTCTGAGCATACTTTCAGGTGTCCATGATCCTTGGTCTTAGGATAAAGCCATTTCTTCTCCTCTATGCTCAGGTTCAATGTAATTACCAAGTCAAGGTCAACTACCATCCATGGCAAGATGAGCTTTTCAGACCACTGTCCTTTTTACACTATTCCCTGGACTTTTAAGAGTGCAGGATATACATTTACTCAAAAGGAATTATAAATAATATTGCACATAAGTACACAAGGCCATGTGACTGTTTCTTTTTCACCTTTTGGGAAGTGTTGATCATATAATTTCCTCATATGCTGTGACTCATTTTTATAAATATGAATCCCAAACATACAAACAATTGTGTGCAGAAACATATGCTTTAGTAATTGGTAAAAGGAATAATACYTTTTTCTAAGAGGAATTTTATTTTTCTGTGCAGCAGCAGAGTATTTAAGTGGTTAGATGTGGCACATAYTGGTCTTTTTAAAACCTGTGTTTTTCCCTT